TTATACAGTGAATAATAGCTAGCTGAATAATAGCTAGCTTCTCCCAAATATACAAGTTTGATTTACATTACAGCATTTTATTTCACAGCATGTTATACTGTTGCATTTTATTTCACAGCATTATTTCACAGCATGTTATACTGTTCTTCTGGCATGTTATACTGTTCTCCTACCATGTTATATTGTTCTTTTCTTTTATACCGCATGTTTTATTGCTTTGATATACATTATGCCTTAGTATAGAAAAATCTAGTGATTACATAGAATTAATAACAAACCTGAAGTTGCTACGACGAAGAACTTGGATCGAACACCCTGGGCAGCATGACGAGGATATACGGAGAAGCCACTTCAAGATGGATCTGCGACATCAAAAACACATTCACATCACCGATCACTTTCCTTAGTTTAAATAATAGCCCATAGGATTTCGAGATGGTTTGTCTAGCGCAGCATAAACCCTCACATATCACTTTTAGGCTTTTGCACAATCCTGTTGTGCATTTATAAGTCCTAACACTTTAGGATTCTGAGGTTACTGTACGGTATGGTGTAAATCCTCTTATTTTTTTAGGTCATTTGCACGATCAAATATCGTGCGAATATAAGTCCTAAATTCTAAATAATTTACAGAATTAAACATTAAATAACATCATTTCAAAGACATAAAGTCAAACAATAGGATAGTTGGGAAGTCACCGGGGTTTTCCCTGGACCTGTGATATCCTCTACTCTTCATTACTTTGGATTCTTGCAAATAACTGTCCCTATTTTGAGCCACTCCTATTTGATTTTCTCATGTCCAATTTTGAAAACCTAAACTTTGAAATCTTAAAGGCAAAATCACTGATCTTAATCAAGAGTTTTCTTGAATGATCATGGTCATTTGAGATGTAATTAACTATAGGGGTTTGCCTCTATAGGAAACTTGGAACCCAGGTAAAATAAAATTTATCTAATCCTTATATTAGGTAGGGGAAATTGTTGGCCTCATATAAAATATTTCGCAGACCAAACGGATGTTACAAATTCATTAGTTTAGGTGATTAAGCTTACTACAAATGATATGTTTATTCTTCGGGATAAGTGTATTATTTGTGGTATTGTGCTTAGTCACCCAAACTATCTAAAATGTGAAACTCGCTTGGTCTCATCTATTTTTAAATTAAAATGTTACTTTCAAAACTTAAATTTACATCAAAGCTATTTTCATATTTATAAAACTCATCTCTCTTTTTCAAAAAATCATAAAACTCAAGTTTTAAAGTTTTAAAATTAAAATAAAATAACGGCCGACAGTATGCAAGGAGTTCTATCGAGTTGAACAACAGGATCAATCATGTAACAATTATCACATGCATTTTAAATGTGTTTATGAAAAATTAAATCCACTATTATCTTTCAGCACTAATTTCCGGATTCAACGGGCTCAAAGTGAATTCAACGGATTCAAAGTGAACAAATGACTATTATGAGTTTTCCAGTTGGCCTCGACTTTCAGTATAAATGTCTCAAATCACAGATCCTATCTAACCCTAGAGTTACTAATATGAGGGAAGCCTATATTAAAGTGTTGCATACTATTCCGTGTTCTCATCCTTCATCCGTATAGCAACTTAATGCTCTTGCAAGCCAAGAAAATACAAAAATCAATAAACCTCATTCTCAGGGAAATTATAGAAATGTCATGCTTATACAAAGTATGCAAGAATAAATTTAACTTTAAAAATTTATCTTGTATTATGAAACGTCATGCTTATACAAATTAACTTTTAAAATTATGCATGTAATATGTATCAAAAGAATTCCTTCACTTATCAACAAAAATTTAAGATATCCTACGATTACACCATATTTAATTAATTAAGTTAAAATTTAACTTTTAGAATTAGAATAAGTATAGATTTATAGCTATTAACACATTATAGAGAAAAAATAGAAATTATCACTTACAAAAGTACGACGAATTTGACTAATTGACGTTGATGAATAAAAACTGCAGTGCAAGCACCGCAAAGTTCATGGTGATTTGGATCGACTTCAACAAATAGGTTTGACTCCTACTCAAGTTGTGACAAAGAAGCATAATGCTTCCACTTTAGCAAGGGAAGGTTCGGCTTTGATGAACAAAAGAGAACTACAACGCTCGGCTTTGACAAAGGCAAGATAGATTTATGACATTCGACTTCAACAAATAAAAAGAAAACTACTATTGCTCGACTTCAACAAATATTGGATGCACTTTTAAAGCTCGATTATAATAACTGTTAGAGGAAGTTTTGACATGAAAGAGCAGGCGGCTTTGACTATGAGGTATAATTAGAGTTATATGTATAAATATAATTTTCTACTTCTCATGTTTCATTTTTTCCCAAATTGTGTTGAGCTCATGTCCAATAAGGTGTCGAGGCGTCTGTCCAACATGTTCAAGCCTGAAAAAATTCAGACTCATATTTTGAGTAAGACAAGTGTTGGGGTATGTCGAACTTATATTGGTGTCCGATACGTGTCCGACACATGTACGACATTTTTAGAAGTATCAATGCAATATAGATAAGCATCTAATGAATTATTAACATTAGATGAATTGATGGAGTTAATCTGCATCAATGCAATGGATGAATCAGTGATAAATTTTTTTATTATTCCATATGTCGTTTTTTTCAATTTCAATCGCACATCAACTGTTTGACAAAATGTCTCTTAAACATTTGTTATCAAATGGCATACAGCCTCTCATACTTATATTGAATATTTTGAGATTTGAACATCTATATGCTAAAATACAAAAATTAACTCGTTTTGAAATCTTAGTATCATTAAAACACAAATCAAAGACTTCCACGACATAAAGCTCATTTGTAATAAAGCTAACATATGTTTGGATTCATGTGTGCTGAGATATTCTATTTTTTAAAATCATTCCTGTTAAGGTCATACCGACCAGTATCTTTCTGGTGTATGTGAACTTATACATGTTTTGTCTTAATTATTGATTTCAAACTTGCTAAATTTCTAGCAAAATTAAATCAAAACCCCCCATGTAGACCACGATGACATTAAACCATGCCACTTCATATTCAGTTATATTTAATCCATGTTAATATTATAATGAATGAATCCACTGACCTTGGAAAAGAACTCCTCACATGCACATTTGAAACAAGGATGTTTGTCTATAGCTTGATAAATACTTCTTAACTCACTTTGAGATCAATGCATGCACCCAAGCATGATGTAGTTTTTTTCTTTTTTCTTTTGGACGAAACTTTTAATAATTCTTGTGATAATTTCTTGCATATAGTTATTCCACATTTTACTATAAATTAAATCAAGATTGCTTTTGAGAGCTTTAATTCTCCTCGAATATCACAGCATCACGATTCTAATCTATGTGTGCTTTGCTTTTTCAGGTTACATTAGAGAAATATTATATATATCCTGATGGTGATGACATCCTCTCCCACCATCTCAGCAACCCTGCAACGAATATTGACGACCCAAATTTCTACGTCAAACCCCACATATGTGATTATTTCGTCTTCCTCCAACTTTCTTTCTCGATTCTTTAGGCTGCTGTAGAAAAGTAACTTGGGTTTGGTGCTTGTTTCTAGAGATATTTAGAATAGAATGTGTTGGCATGGTAAGTTCCCATGACCCAAGTCCTTCATTTACCTTTCATGCATCCCTTATGTCAATAGCATTGGAGATTATAAAACTAAGCTTATATGATTACATATAAAATAAATAAACATTCATAAAAAATATAAATAAATTTATATGCACTTAAGTTAATTTTTTGAATATGTAAAATAAATAAATGTAATCAATATATAATTAAATTATACTTGATAGAATTTTAAAATAAAAAATAATTGAACAATTTCATAATGTGGATAGTTATAATTGAATGATAGAAATTCTATATAATTTTAAATAATTCTCTTTTAGCATATTAAATAATCACAAAATGGATATAATAATTAAATTGAATATTTTATTTATTAAGTAAATTTTAATCATAAGTTAATTATCACTATATTTGTATTAAACTACCCTCATGAATGTATGGCAGGTTTAAGTATATCATGCATTATTATAAAAATAAATATTTGATTTATTAAACTGCCTTAATATTAAATTAATTATAAAAATAATTTACTTTAAGTGTATCATGCATTATTAAAAAATTTAACATTTATAATAAATATTTAATTTATCCAACATATTTATTATATCCAAATTCAGGAAGAAATAACAATTAGTAGAAGAAACAAACAGTTAAAATCTGTCTTGCCTAGTAGTACGAAATTGACAGCCTTATAAAGTAATTAGACAAATGGATGGGTAAAAACAATATCCTGTAGTGACCATGAGTCTATAAATCTGCAGTTTATCAGGATCCCTCCAACATACGAGGCCTTTCCTTTGCATCATAAAAAAAGGTTATTTCCATATCAAATCAACGACCTTCAACTCACAATAAAAACATTCTAACCATTGCTACAGCCCCACATCAAGAGTCCACAAAAGGCAACATTAAATTCAAAAAATATAGTAAAATCAGAAAGATGTAAAACCCTTTAAAATAGAGTAAAATGCCAAAATAGTTCCCAAACTATTTACATCGGACAATTTTAGTCCTAGAGTTTATAAAAGTGATAATTAGCCATCAAACTCTTTTAATGGAGGCTAAAATAGTTCTGACTAGAGACTAATTCAAATCATATTAAGGAAATATGAGGACTAAATTGACACTTTTATAAACACTCAACTAAATTGGCCTCTGCAAAGAGTCAGGGAACCATTTTGCCACTATTCTCCATTAAAATATAAGTGAATTCTGGCACAATGCTATAAACATTATCAGAGGACACAAGTCATAGATGAACATGGAGCAATATGATTTAAATCAAAGATGTAGGAGTAGTTCGTAGGAAGATAAGCCAAATATTGCCTAGCAAGAAAACATAATATGGATGTAGGATCATAAAACTAACCTGATGTCCTTGAAAGGTCTGCCATTAGAATCAACATAGGTTTCATTCATTTTTGCTAAGCAATCTATGCTTTCTTTCTCTTCAACAATACCAAAAACCTACATCAATTAATTGGAGTACATTGTTCAAGCCAAAAGAGATTGACAAAATAGATAAAACAGAAGTTAGCCACGAGTAGACTTACAGTGTGTTTTCCATCAAGGTAGTCTATATCATCTCGCAATGTAATGTAAAACTGGCACGAAGCAAGTTGTTGGAAAAAAAAATCAAGGGCTCACAAAAACAGTTAATCATGTGCTGAGGCAAAAATATTTTCAGAGAAACAACAGACCATGTACGATAAAAGAAAATAGAAAGGATACTTTCAACTCAAAGCAATTCATGTGCTAGAACATATACAGATGCCCTATGAGTCGAACTCGGGATCTTGAGTTTTGATACCATGTTAAACAGTGGTGATTGTTAGAACTATATTGCCATTAAAATTAAGTGTTTTCTTTTTTCAGAGGACCAGTATTTCTTATCATTCTTTTGTAAGGGTAGGAGTTTATAAGCTTTATTGGGACTAGTCTACTTAACTAACTTCCCCTTAAGAAGAGGGTAGCTTTTTGCAGCTAGCTTTCAAGTTTGTCCTGCTTGGGAAGATTCCAGTATTTTGTGGAGAGATATGATGGAGTGGGGATAGTAGTGGAGTCTAGGTCAATCAACAACCCTAAGAACTGCTCCAAAAGGCAAAAAAAAGCCACGGCTATTTTTCAGACAACTGTAAGGAGACGGCAGTAGCAAGTTCCTTGCTATTGCAAGGCTTATAGGGTGGGGTAGTTGGGCAAGAGACCCTCAGTGCAAGATATCTAAGAAAAATCACTCACGGGATGTTGAAGAAAGGTTCCATAGAAGTTTGAAAAGGTCTACAAGAGCAGTTTGAAGCAAGTAGAATCCTTCAGGTAATTAGTGGAAGCTTAAAAAACATCCCCATTTCAGGTCCTCTGCTTTCCTTACTCTCTATGGTAAATTTCCCATATTTCCATGGTCATTTAACCTCTTTTCACCTTGAAAATTACAGCGAGCAACAATATTTCAAGAAAATAAATAAATAAATAAAAACTTTAGAGATATGCAGCATGCCAGTTAAGTGGCGAGTTTGGCATAGGGTATTGGCGATCAGGAAGCAGTGTGATTATTGGCTTAACCAAGTTGTGAAGACTAAGATCTTCTTGAATCAAGATTTCCCACACAGATTCTTGTAATTTAATTAATTAGCTTAAGTTTAGGTTCCATTTCTTGGATATTTTGCTACCTAGTTGTGTCCACTGAACTGGAAGGGATCTAAATTTAAATTTTGAATTTTAAATTTTCAAAACATATTAAATTTAATAAAGGAAAATACGGCAAGGGATTTAAATTTAAAATGTTAAGCTTTACTCACAATTTCTCAAGCCTAACATAGTCAAAAATTCGGCCAAGATATGATTTAATGCTTGTAGATTTTGGCCAAGGTTAAATATGGTAAGTATAATACATGTAATAATTATATGGTGCTTAACTTGAATCGTATATATATATAAATATATGTAACATTTAAACTATAATATGACATTAATGACTGATCTAAAACTCAATTCAAATAAAAAATAGTAGTAAAAAACAAAAATGGAAAGATTTGCATACAATTTAATTTAGCGTAATGATAAATATTTAACTATATGAAAGAACATAATCATATATAAAATAAATAAATATGTTTATATAATTATCAGGTCATTAAATGCATGAATCAAAGTTAAACATGTTGCCTAATAAAATCAAATAAAACCAATTGAACCAATAATAGATTAATCATGTACATTCATTAATTTCATAAATATGATTATAGTAATTTCACAAATATGATTATTACTCATATGATTTTACATGAAATATTAATGAAACGATAAAACATTTTATGAAATAATTTTAAGTTAAAATTCAAGATTAGTTATTACATTAGTTCATAGAATTGGGTAGGTGAGTGTCAAAGTTATGCAACCTAATTAGAAATGATTTTGCATAAATAAGTTTTAAATTTAATATATGATTGATAAAAATTATTTGTGTTGAAAAAAATTAAGCATAAAGTAAATTCAAAAAATATGTTTGTTATTCTCAAAATCCAATGATGAGTCATAAGGCACATGGAGCCAAAAAATCTAAACCTCTAAACTCAATTGGTCACTTGAGACCAATTGATTGGCCAAACTTCAAACATTGAATTCTTACTAGTTAACCATAGATGTAGCATCTGTAATAATAGTAATAATAATAATAATAATTTTTAATTAACGGGTTAACATGCGACAGAGACGAGCAAAACGGGAGGTGACGTCGTGCTCGAATAGACCAAGCAAGGTGATAACATTGAAGACTTGAGCGTCGAACATATCTGGGCCTTGAGCAAAACCTTGGAGGGAGGAAGCCAATGAACAAAAGTCGAGCAAATTGCATTTTCCGAAAAGTATATTGTGAGGGCAAGGAAATTAAGCAGTCAAGCAAGAGACAAAACATCAAATGTCCAATCAGTCTCTTCGATCTCATGGTTTTGTTCGATCACGTGCGAAGGTGACAAGGACAAGAGGCATAGGAGAAATTAGATGAGGCAAGAGCAGCTTTTATTGATGTCCGGCATGAAGTAGAATGAGATGAGAAAGCTTTCTCAAGTGAGCACTGTGCATGTTTAGGACGAGATCGGTAAAGCGAGAAAGTTGGAGCACTGAGTGAACCAGAAAAATTTTATTTGCTTTTAAATTTATAAGTAAATGAGAAATAAAATATTAAATTTAAGAAATAGAACAAAATATTTTAGGGATAATAAGATTAATAATAATTAATGATATTATTACTATATTGAGATATTAAAAATTAAATCATAATATAATGATAAATATTAAATTAGAAAGTAAAAACTAATGATGATGTACGGATTTAAATATTAAAAAATATGATATTAAAGTTTTATTGAAATTTAAAATATTATTATCAACTATAGAAATAAGCACGATTGTTATGTTTAATTAGAAACATACTAAATGATGAAATGGATTGATATATATAATAACATATTCATATAAATATAGAGAATATTAAAAATGTGTGATTAAAATAAAAGTAAGATTGTAATTAAAAAAAAGTTTAACGAAATAATTATAATAATTTATCAAATTTAAGTTAATAATTAATAAAGATTAATTATGACTTATAAACTAAATTATAATAGAAATTAATAAAATATGACATTATAGAATGAAAACAAACATTATTAAATAATAAAATCACAGTAATATGTTAAATTTATTTTGGAAATTATAATCATAAAGAAGTTATTAAAATTAAATAAAGATTATATAAACATAATTATATAATGTGATAAAATAATGAATAATAGAAGATGAAATTTAAGGAGTAAAGAAGCTACCTGGCATTAAAGTGGGTACTATAATTTTTTAATAATGATAATAATATTGATTTTCTTCTAAATCTGCATTTGATGGGAAAAAAAGTGCATTTCATGGTTATATAGATAGGCTGATATTTTATATAAAATTTTGACTTAACTAAAATATTAAATTTATTGATCATATGAAAAACGTCATTTATCTAACAATACATTTATATTTGTTTATTGTACATAATGAGTGTTATAGTAAGATAATGAATGATATTTAGAATATGAATAAAATGAATTATATAACATGCCCGCATGTGTATAGCTCACTAATGTAGTCATCCTTCTATGATATTAACTAGGGTTGCTAAGGTACACGTGCACAAATATTAAAAATTTTATTGATATTGAAGTGTCTTAGTTGATATAATTTAGACAGCGCTCTTATGACGAATGTTATATAAAAAAATATAGATAATAGGATATAATTGTTGGGGTTATTTGAATCTTTAATATGGTCATCCTTGAATGACTAGACAATTTGATTCTAGCTTGGTGAACCTCTAGTATGCATATTGCATCTTTTCTTCCTTATATTATTGTTATTTTAGAAATACGAGTATCTCACTAAGTTTGCTGATAACTTTTTAAACTAACATTTTCAGTTTTAAGCAATTAATTAGAAGATAAGTGACAGAAGTGAAAATTGTTGTAGATAACACAACCAAATTAGAGAAAGTTAATTATAATCATAATTGTCTTACTATTAGATTTATTTAATTATCAGTAGTTCTTTCAATTTATTTTATTATACTACTAAGTATTTAATGATAATAATAAAGATAGAAATTTTTTAGTTGTACCATTTGTTTGCATGTTCCCGCCTTAATAAATTCAAGCCTTGTGTCAAATCATGATATTTAGATCAAGCATAAACCGAACCTAGCCCAGTGTGACCCAGCTTGACCCAATAAAACCCAACTCAAGAATTAGTTTGATTGGCTTATCCAATTTTCCCACCAAGTCCAAATAAATCAAGCATAAAGAGCAATATTAATTCTTAAATTTGCTCATATGAAGTTATTTTAAGCTAGCCCAAGTTAACATATTTCACGAATTAAGTCTTAAACTTTTAAATTGTCCACATTGATTAAACTCAATCATATCAACGATTTTAAATAAATCAACGAGCTTAATATATCCCAATATCAACAGATTAAGCCAACTGATCTATGAAACCCCAAGTTGCCTCAATTAAGGTCAATTTGATCAAATTAAACCAAATGACCAAACCAAACACCTCCATTTGATCCAAAAAGGTCAATCAAATCCCAATTTAAGCTTGGTTAAAAAAATTAGCCAATAGGACGAGTTAAGTCAACTTGAACCCATAATGGACCCAAATACAATTTTAGTTCAAATTGGGTCGGCCTAACCATTTAATTAGCCTTAAGACTCAGGCCAAATCACATAATCGCAGGTTAGCCCAACTTAACTTCGATAACTTTACTATAGCAACTTAGCCAAGTCCAGGCTTAATACCATGCTACTCTATCATCGCAAGGTTCAAATTGATTGACATGTTTAGGTTTTCAATTTTTCGTGTGTTTTTTTTGGGACAGCAGCTGGTATTTGTTCTTCTCCCTTTGAAGGTTGTAAGGGTGTAAACGAGCCTGCTCATTCAGGTACGGCTCGTTTGATTTTTTTTTCTATACGTGTTCAAAATGGCTTGTGACTAGCCTATTCGTGTTCGGCTCAATTCAAACTCATTTGTTCGAATTAAGCTCATGTTTGATTCGAAATAATTATGTACTAAA